TTCTGGGCCTCTAATTCACAGACAACAGGAAGTGACACAGCTCAAAATTGTAGATCAACATCTCTGGTAAGTATGCAAAAATCTTCAATAAAATATTAACAAACTGAATATAAGAATATATTTAAAGGCCACACACTATGGTTGGTTAAATTAAAACAAAGGAGCCAAAAATATACAATGGGGAAAGGAAGGTCTCTAATTAATGGAAAACTGACAGCCACATGCAAAAGAATGGAAATGGACCACCATCTTACACTTGACACAAAAAAATTAACTCAAAATGGATTAAAGACCTGAATGTAACAATCTGAAACTATAAAATCCCTAGAAGAGAACACAGGCTACAGTAAGCTGCTTCAAGGTCTGGCTGATGGTTTTCTGAGTCTGACACCAAAAGCAAAAGGAACGAAAGGAAAAATAAACAAGGGAACCAGTAAGTGGGACTACATCAAACTAACAAACTTCTGCACAGAAAAAAAAACCAAACCCAACAAAATAAAAACAAAAACTACTCAGTGGGGAAAATAGTTGCAAATCATATATCTGGTAAGGAGCTAACACTGAAAAATACAAAGAACTCATACAAAGAACTCAACAGCAAAAACCAAAAATTCCACAAAACAATCCAACTAAAAAATGGCCAGTCCCGAAGACAGTTTTTCCAAGGAAGACATAGGGATGGCCAACAGGTGTATGGAAAGATGCTCAAAACCACTCAACACAAGGAAAATGCCAATCAAACCCACAATGAGATGTCACCTCACACCTGTTAAAATGGCTACCATCAACAAGACAAGAAATGACAAGTGTCAGAATGTAAAGAAAAGGGAATCTTGTACACTGTAGGTAGAATGTAAATTGGTGCAATGACTGTGGAAAACGACATAGAGGTTCATCAAAAAATAAAAGAACTACCATATGAAGTAATCGTCCTAATGAAAAAATATAGAACACTCTACAAAGAAAAATAAAGTGAGATATATTCCTTGTTCATGATCAAAAATCACCATAGTATTACAATGTCAATTCTTCCTAAACTGATCTAAAGATCCAGTAAAATCCCAATAAAAATGTCAGCAAGTTATTTTGTGGATAACAAACTAGTTCTAAACAATGAGTAATTTACACAGTTCTGATGAAAAACAAGTTGATGAACTCACACTTCCCAATTTATTATAAAGCTTCAATCAAGAAAGCATGATAGTTTAAAATGAACAGGCACATAGACAAATGGAACAGAATAGAATCCACGAATAGACCTATGCAAATAGAGACAACTTGACCTTGGTCAAAGAAATAAAGGCACTTCTATACAGAAAAGATAGTCTTTTAGTCTAGTCAGGACCAACAAATGATGACCACAAGGAAATAAACTAACAAAGACAAACTTTGTGACTTAGATATGAATCAACTCAAAATCATTTATTACCTTAAATATAAAATGCAAAACTGTAAAAGTCATAGTGGGAAACTTAGAGTTTGGTAATCCAAAGAAAGGTTTATACGCAAAATATTCAAAGAACTGGTAAAACTCCACAATAAAAAAACACACTCCCCAAATTAAAATAAATATGGCAATATGAGTAGATACCCTAATAAGTAACATGTAAATAAGCACATATAAATTTCACAATACTGAGCAATTAATGGAAAAGTTTATGCACCATACATTAGGGATAATCAAATTTAAAACACCAAGGAGATACCCCACTCATCTATTAAAGTGGCTAAACACCACCCTGACTGATGTGGCTCAGTGGGTGGGGCATTGCTCCGAAAAGCAAAACGTTACTGGTTTGGGTCTTGGACCCAAAGCACATGCCTGGGCTTTGGGTTCAGGCCCCGGTTGGGGCACAGACAAGAGGCAACCTGACTGATGTTTTGCTCCCCCTTTTTCTCCTTCCCTTCTCCTCTCAATAAAATAATAAATAAAAATTTTTAAGAAATAAATAAAATGGCTAAATATCAAAAACTAACAATACCAATTGCTAGTGAGGATATGAAACAACACAAAATCTTATTCATTGCTGATGGGAATACAAATGGTAGACCCTCTTAAGAGGACATCTTGCCAGATTCTTGTGAAGTTAACCAGAGTGTTACCATATGCCCCAGTGTGTTTAGCTAACTGGTGGGAAAAACATACATCCTCATAAAAAACAATTATGGATATAAAATATGTAAAAATATACAGCAGCTTTATTAACATTCAAAACGTAGAATACGAGGTGTCCTTTAATAGCTGAATGACAACTTTAGTCACTCACAGCAGGGAGGGACATGAGTTATACATGGACTGCAGGCTGAGTTCAGAAAGGGACTGGAGGGACCACTAGGTGGAAACACGAGGAGGAGATCCAGGATGGCGGAGCAGTTCATGGAAGCTACACTAACTGCCTCCCAGGACCATTGTGGAATTACAACTAAATTGTAGAGAAATTATCCTTAACAACCAATTCAACCCTAGCTGGAGAGAAGCCTTAAGCCAACGACAGACAGAAGAAACCACTTCACCACAATGAACGTGGTAGAGAATGCGGAGGAGGTGCAAGAGAGCTAGCTCTGCTCCCATGGGCAGAAGCTGGAAGGGATATTCCTTCTGGAATGGATATGTCAGCAGTTGGGGGGTTTCTCCTGAGAAGTGTGTGGGGTCTAAACACCAAGCTGGGCTCCCCAACCTATGGCACCAGTGCCAGAAAGGAATCCAGATAACACCCAGCTGTGAAAAGCACAAGGTTTCTGTCTGCCAGGGAGAGGCAACTGGAGACTCAGAGAGCCTCTTAAAGGGCCAACATACAAAAGTTCCTTTGTAGCCACTTACCCTGGACTCCAAGGCCACCATTATCTAATTCCAAAACCAGATAAAAACAGTACAAAGAAATAAAATTATAGGCCAATAACCCTATGATGACCTTTTTGATGAACAAAGATGCTAAAATCCTCAACAAAATATTAGCAAACCAAATACAGCAATTTATCAAAAAGATCATACATTATTATCAAGTGGGATTTATTCCAGGAATGCAAAATTGGTACATTTGCAAATTGGTAAATGTGATTCACCACATAAACCAAATGAAGGATGAGAACCACATGATCACACCAATAGATGCAGAAAAAGCATTTGATAAAATCAAATACTCATTTATGATAAATATCCTCAGCAAAGAGGGATTACAGGGAACATACCTAAACATAATAAAGGCCAAATATGACAAACCCACTGCCAGCATCATACTCAATGGGCAAAAACTACCAGCCCTCCCCTTAAGATCAGGAACAAGACAGGGATGTCTGCTTTCACCTCTTATTCAACACAGTACTAGAAGTCCTAGCCACAGCAATCAGATAAGAAGAAATAAGAGGCATCCAAATTGGAAAGAAGTAAAACTGTCATGATTTGTAGATGACATGATACTGTACATAGAGAATCCCCAAAGATTCCACTAAGAAACTACTAGAACTGATAAATGAATTCAGCAAAGTAACAGGATACATAATTAATATTCAGAAATCAGTTGCATTTTTACAAACTAACAGAAAGGAAAATTAATAAAAACAATCCCATTCACAATTGCTACAAAAAGAATAAAATATCTAGGAATAAACCTAACCAAGGATGTAAAAGACTTATACCCGGATAATTGTAAGACACTGAAGAAAGAAATAGAAGACACAAATAAGTAGAAGCACAGACCATGTTCATGGAGGAAGAATTAACATCATTAAAATGTCCATACTACCCAAAGCAATCTATAGATTCAATGCAATTCCTATCAAGATTCTAATGATGTATTTCACAGATATAGAACAAATATTTCAAAATTTACAAAAGGACCTGCATAGCAACAGTGACCCCGAAAAAGAACAAAGTTGGAGGAATCATACTACCTAATATCAAACTATACTACAAGGCAATAGTAATCAAAACAGTCTGGTATTGGCATAAAAAGACACATAGATCAATGGAACAGAACAGACAGCCTAGAAATAAACCCACACCTTTATAGTCGATTAATATTCAATAGAGGAAGCAAGCACAGACAATGGGCTAAAGACAGTTTATTCAATAAATGGTTTGAGGAAAATTGTACAAATGCATGCAGAAAAACGAAGCTAGGCCACCTCCTTACACCAAACACAAGAATAAATTTTGATCCATTCAAAATGGATCAGACTTAAACTGTCAGACCTGAGACCATAAAAATCATAGAAGAAAACAGGTGGCAAAATCTCAGATATCGCTTATAGCAGTATTTTATTGAATATATCTCCCCAGACAAAGGAAACAAAAGGAAAAAAATAAATGACACTACATCAAACTAAAAAGTTTTTTCACAGCAAAGGAAACCATCAACAAAATAAAAAGACAACCCACAGGATAGGAGAACATATTAACCAATACAGCTGACAAGGGTTCATATGCAAAATGTATAAAGAACTTACAAAACTCAACACCACGAAAACAAACAATCCAATTAAAGAATGGACAGAGGACCTGAATAGATACTTCTCCAAAGAGGACACACAGATGGCCATCTGAATAGACATATGAAAAGATGTTCAGCATCACTAATCATCAGAAAAATGCAAATTAAAACCTCAATGAGATATCAGCTCACACCTGTCAGAATGGCCATCACCAATAAATCAACACACAACAAGTGCTGGCAAGGATGTGGAGAAAGGGGAACCCTTTTGCACTGTTGGTGGGAATGCAGACTGGTACAGCCACTGTGGAAAGCTGTATGGAGTTACCTTAAAAAATTAAAAATCATTCTGCCTTTTGACCCAGTGATCCTACATCTGGGAATATATCCAAAGGAACCCAAAGCACTAATTCAAAAAAACATAAGCGCTCCTGTGCTCACTGCAGCATTATTTACAATAGCCAAGATATGGAAGCAGCCCAAGTGTCCATCAGTAGATGAGCAGGTAAAACAGCTGTGATATATATACACAATGGAATACTACCCAACCACAAAAAATAAGAGAATTTTGAGACAGCATGGATGGACTTGGAGAACATTATGCTAAGTGAAATAAGCCAGTCAGAGAAAGACAAATACCATATGATTTCCTCATATGTGGGATCTAATGAACAAACTGAACTAACAAAGAAACTGGGGCAGACTCATAGCTGGAGAGCAGGATGGTAGCTAGTGGGGGGCAGTTAGGGGATGGAAGGATTGCACAAAAAGGAAAAAGGACTCCTGGACATGGAGAACAGTGTGGTGATTGCTGGGGGGAGGGGTATGTAAGGGGAGTAAATGGTAACGGAAACAATACAATAAAGATTAAATTAAAAAAGAAATAAAGAAAACACTGGTTGTTCAGGTGGACTGGAGTCAGACAGACTGGAATCACATGTGTAGACACACACACAAGCCGCTATGGGTTGAATATAATAAACTGATCTTATAAATAAATAAATAGTAATACAGAGTAAACTCTGTGTTTCATGTATCACAGCTATGAATCTGCCTTTGGCCCACCCTGCAAAAATAATAAAAATGCAAATCACAGACATAAATAAATGGATATATAGCAACATGGATGAATCTTACAATACAGTAAATAACAAAGTAAAAAGTGCAAATTTATGAAAAAGAAAAACAACTAAAACAGCTTTCAGTACACATGTGAACATATGACTATCATCCTTAGTAAACAACAAATATTTCATAAAAATTACTGTAAGTACATTGAAAAACTTCCAGAACACCTCAAGAATGGTGGGCTTTTGGACAATACAACTTCTTCAAGTACTGGACAAGGACTGACTGCATCTTCCAGGTTAGTGTCCACTTTGCCTCCCTTTGCAGGAGAAAAGGCAAACTAAGAAAGCTCTGGTCTCCTAAAGAGATCCTCTTCCCTCAGGAAACAGCAGCATCTTCTACAGAGACGTACTTCCCGGATGCCACCAGGTAGTCCTCAATCTTTTCCTTTGTGTTCCTATGCCCCAGGCTTTCCAAGGCATCCAGCAGGGTGTTGACAGAGATGGCCCGCCCCATCTTGTTGACCAACATCGCCAGCATTTCATAGACCTGCTCCCGAGGGTGCGATGCTTGGGCTTCGGCCACCTGGATCTCATTGTCGGTGAGGCCCATCCGCCGCATGAGAGGTTTCCAGGAATTAAAGAGCACCGTCTCTATGAAGTAATCGAAGAATGACCTGAAGCCTAGGTGGGGGAAGCCACAGAGATAGTCTGGTGAGGTGGGACACCCTGCAGAAAGGGTGGGCCTAGGCCGGAGCACCCCCTGCTGGTGACATGCTGCTCTTTGTCCCTTACTGGTGTCCCCTCAGCAGAGACTCAGGCTAAACCGACTGGGCCTCACCTAAGCCCATGGCACTGCAAACCCACCTGGGAGGGAAGGTGGGCGTCACGCAGAGACAGAACAGTATGTGGTAGGAGACAGAGGGTGGGACAGGCTGTGGAGCAACAGGCCCTCAGAGGAGGGGACCTGCACTTATTCCGAGAATAAGGTCTCAGGGCTGCCACATCTGCACCTGAGCTCAGAGCGAGGGCCCGGAGGCGGGAAGATCTCTGGCTTCACACCCTGCTGGGCCTCACCCACCAAACTGTGGCAGAGTGAGATGAAGACAAACAGACCCCGGGCAAGAATTTAACCCATAAGACAGAGCAACGCTCCCCTGCCACCCCCTACCATGTCATGGACTGTGCTGAGGAGTAAATGAGACGTATGGAAGGCACTGCGCACCACTGACCCACAGGAATATAATGACATGTATTTCTAACAGCCTAACTAAAGAAAATAAAAAGGAAGAGGTGATATTAATTTTAATAATATCTGGTACAAACTCAATCCATACAAAATGTTATATTTACATGCAATCAATAAACAAAATATTATCAAAGGGATATTTTATATTCCTTTGGGTACTAATATATGAAATGTGATTTGTAGCTTATAATTACAGGTCTCCAAACTTGACCTATCCACACACAGGTCAGATGCTCGGCAGTCTCCCGGGCCAGTGGGTGCCCTGCTGGATGGCACAGCCCCTAGGTGGCCTCCATGTGGTGAACCCGGCCCTGAACATCGAGGGGAGAGGGAGGATGGTAGAGGGAAGGACAAGGGGTTGCAGGCTGTCGTTGTGACGAGATGGGATGGTATGGTGTGCAGTCGGAGCACAGGGAGGGGGCTGAGGGTCCTGATGGTCCAGTGACAGTCAGCATGGCCACCCCCCCCCCCGCCCGTTTCCAGCATCCCCAGCTCCACACTGCTGTAATAGCCATGGGGACACTCACTTTCTACAGAGTCTGCGCCGTTTGCTGGAACCAGCAGCTCCCTTTTCCTCTGAGATCCCTCAGCTCCGGCTGGTCTCTATAAAACAGAATGGAGGATGCTCTTGGTCTGGGTTAGGACTCCTGGACTCCAGAAGTGAGCCTGACAACCAGCCAGCTGTGTGACCTGGGGCAGCCACCTCTCTTCCTGGGTCTCTATGAACATGAAGAGGAACCTTTCCCCTTGTGCCCCTCACAAGCTGTGTGCCTGTGTGCTCACAGAGGCCCACATCCCCTGGGGTGCTGCTCCCTCCTAAAGTATCTGCTCCAGCTGTGACCACTACATACACCCGAGTAACCATCGTCCACCAAGACATGGGACATTCCCAACACCTCACCCAGCTCCCTCCTGCCCCTTCTAGTCCACTCCCATCCACCCCATCAGTCACTCCCTCCCAGGTGTTCATGTGACTCAAGTGAAGCATGTACGTGAGCACATTCCACAAAGTCTAGTAAGGAAGGGTTTCTCCAGTGAGTCAGAAGGGGCTTTGATCAGTAATAATGTACGTTATTGCTAATCTAAATAAGGAAGTATTAGCTTGTCCCCATGGAGGCTGAAAAATGATTCTGTAAAATTAAACATGATCTCTGCATCCATAATAGTAATATTTTCCCATATGAAAACAAGAGTCAACACCACTCCTTTGGGTGAAATAGTGAAGGCTTCCCAATGAAATCAAATCAGGATCAAAACACGTGCCTTCTCTAAGCACCTTTGGACACTGTGGGTTCTGGGCTGCAAAGTCGAAGTCAAACAGAAAAGGAGGCAGGGCTGGTGGAAGGGGGCAGAAACAATCACCACTATCTTAGATATGATTATATATTTAAACACCCTAAGGTGTAAATTACAATACTTAAAAGTAAATGCATGTCTTGGTGAATGCTAATATACATAATAGAAACAATAAGTTAGAAAATGGAATGGCAGCAGGATCCAACCAGTGAGGGTAACAAAAACATAAAATACAAAGAAATTGCTTTAACCAGAAATAAGATTTATCTAAAGAAAGACACAAATCTTCATTGAGTCATAATAAAATACCTGACCTGAAATGCTATCTTCTTTGATTAAAAAAAAATATTGAAGATTGTAACATCTCAATTAGCTCTTCTTGGGTTAATGTAAGGTAATATAAAAAAAAAAAAACTTCCAGTGACTTTTTGGGGAGTAGAGAATATCTTATAAAATAGTTCTAAATTTTACCTGGGTAGAAATAATAAATTTTGGCAAGGTAAGGAAAAGGTATGTGCACTCTCAGATATTACAACGTGTTAAAAAGAGTCCTTCGGTAAAGCACTGCACACGGATGGCACACACACACACACAGATTCCAGCAGAGTCACAGTTGCCTCTCCCAGTCACCAGAAGTGAAACAGTGAGGGAGGGGCCTCCACCTTCCCCGGGAACCTCGCGGTGCCATTTGCTTTTCCTCACTGTGGGTAGGTACCAACTACCTTACAGGATGTGGGAAGTGTTCATCAGGATCCAGGGAATTGTTGGCCTTTTGGTTAGTTTGTTTCCTTTTATACTTTCTCTTCATTTAAAAAGAACATGCTACAGATGCAAGAAAGAAATAGGAAAGGACACTTGAGGCGGAAAGAGGACCAGGTCTTTGCAAACAGTTCACACTTGGTAAAGGAGGAGCCAAGAGCAGAGGGAAATGAGAGTCAGACATGAAATGGGGTTCGAGGCAAGAGACGGCGACGTGAAGCATTTCAGGGACTCAAGTGAAATCACATCACAAAATCAATCCCATTTAGATAATATTGCTATGTGGTAAGAATCACCACAAGTAAAACTCCTGTAACAAATTAGGAAATTTCACCTTATGTTAAGGGGAATGACTTTCTAAGTGTATGAGGAATGGAAAACTAAATGCTTACCACTCAGTGTCATATTAAACAGGTGAGCTGATATGCACCAAAACTGTGCACAGGTGTGTGTATAAGGATGAAAAACACTTGGACACCTTTGCCCAGAAATTCGACTTCTAAAAATCACTGTCCAAATACACTTAGATATTTATAGACTAAACTCTATTTCCACATAGGTTCAATGTAATAATAATTCTGTAATAACTCTGGCATTCCTACTGTGATGGGGAACGGCTTACTGAATTGGGTTACGACTACACAGCGGACTATCTGCAGCCTCCAATCGATCACCCCACACGCATGGGAGCGCCCGTTCTGCGCCTGCCTGTTCCAGACTCTGGGGGTGCAGTGACGAATGGACAGAGAAGACGCAGACCTTCCACAGAGCCGACAGGCCACACGTCAGGGTGGTGGGGTCCCTGTGGCCTCCCCTCAGGTCCCCATCTCCCTCTGCACCCCTTCCCCAGGGGACGGCAGGCCTGACCAGAATCGACCTTTCTCCATTTCTAATGCAGTCCTGGGTGAGCAGAAAGGCCGCCGCCACTCACCAACAGACACTTTGCTTCTCCTGGGGACTGTTCTGTGACACCTGCCGGCTCCGCATGCTCCTGGTGTTCCAGTTCCTCCTCAGAGGTGGGCGTGGAAGGCGACTCTCTGCGGCTCAGGAAGGTGTTGCGGGCATTGTCCTGAGCCTCAGGCCCTCTTGGAGCACATGAGAACCCGTGAAAGATCTGGGGAAGGCAGAGAGGAGTGTGGCCCAGGTTCCCTAAGAGGTCTCAGGGGACACAGGAGGCTCCACCCCCACCCCCCCGCTTCGCCATCCCCTGAAAGGCTCGGCACCACCAGGACCCTGCTGTGGCCCCAGGACACTGGTGCCATGCTAAGGGGTGCAGCACACCTGCCTGACACTGCCACACCGGAGTGCAGGGCTGTGGGTGTGGTGTCACAAGCAGCAGTTAGGATGGGGCTACCCAGCTTGTGGGCTGCTCCCAAGATGCCAGCTGTCCTTTGGATCGGCCCAGGTACCAAAGCCACTTTAGAAAGCCAGGGACAGCAGTACAAGACAAGTTGAGGCCATGTCCACCCAAGGCCTCATTTTGGGCAGAAAATAATTTCTGAGAGCCTGATGCCAGCACATCCTAGAGAAACCAACTCACTCTGTTTATGCAGTTGGAGTCCACCCCACAACCTAGAAGAGAAGGGACATTGCATCAGCAGTGGGGAGGGCCCTCTCTGCAGGATCTCCCTCCAGGGACAGTGCAGGGGACAAGGTATGGGCTGGGGCGCAGACACCAAACAAGGTGCCTTGGGTCTGGTAACAGGGAAGGGCAATCCAGCTCTGGAGCACCCTCAGGGAGGGGAAGAAAAGAGGGAAAGAAGTGAGAAACCCTCCCCCACCCTACACACACATATCAAATCTCTGTTGGATTCTGCTCTAACCAAAACTGTAAAAACCCCTGGCCCTTTCCTCCTGACTACTGTCACCAAACTTGCGCACTGACCACCTCTCTGCCTTGGCTGGGTGCTGGCATCCCAGACTTGGCCAGGAGAGGAGGTGACCCAGGAAAGGAGGAGGAATATGATCCCGGCCCTGCAGAGGTGCAGGTGAGGTGGGAGATGGCGGGTGGGCCCACAGAACATGAACAGAGCCAGGCCAGAGAGACCCAGCAGATGTGGGAGATGGAGGGGAGGGGCCTTGCTGTCCAGAGAATCGAAGCAGGAAGTGAGGGAGGCAGCAGAGAGCACAGCACGTGCCCACCACCCCAGCCGACCTCACCTTGGTGAGTCCTCCAGTAACAGTAACACAGCAGAGCCCCAATGAAGAGGACGGCGACAACGATGACTGGAATTGTGATTCCCAGCTGTGAGCTGCCTGAGGAGGGAGAGGAAGTGACAGGCGGCTCCAGGCTGGTGGTCACTCCAGGAACCAGGGTCTTCCCACTGGCCTGGGTACCTGATTCTTGGTCCACACACTCGCGGTCGTTCCAGGGGGTGCAGGGCCTGGCCTCGACCTTGCCAGCAGGGCACCTGGGTTCAGACACAAGGAGAACATCAAGGAGTTCCGCGAGGTAAGGGGAAAAGAAAGAGGAAGCAGCCCCCCAGCCAGTGTCCCCTGACTGGAGAGCAGAAAAAGAAGGGGTTTCCATGGTCTGCATGATGGGTCCCCTCACCCCCTTGCTGGGTTCGGGAAGGAGCTGAGCACGGCCCTTCCGCCCTTAGGGCTCCTGCTGAGTGTTCGGAGCGGCAACCTCAGCAGCTGGCCCTTCTCCATAAGGCCTGCACTGAGCTCCCCGGGCTGCAGGGGGAGCCTGGGTGAGAGGGCATCTCACTGCAGGTCAAGGGTCAGCAGCCCTTTGGGCACAAGCTGAGCCTCATCCTCTAGTCGACCTTTCATACAAGGAATCTCATGTCCTCTCCCTGTTGACTGTCCCTACCAATCACAGCCACACTAGAAGTCAGAGAAAAGCAAATTGCCACTGGCCCCTAATAACAGAGAAGAGACTCCTTGGTCCAGGCAACAGGGTCCTGGGGGAAGGCAGGCTGAGCTGGCTTGGAGTTTCTGGGAAGCTACAGGCTTGACCTTGTTATGACTTGGCTGTGCACCCTTCTGTGTTCATGGGCCATGCTCGCACAAAAAAAAAAAACCATGAAAAAGAATATTTTAGAGTTGAACTGTTACAAAGATGATTATAAGCATGGCTGTATTCTACTCAATTCTTTCTTTCTGATATCAAAAGGAACTAAGACTTTGCATGGGCCACTGACAGGACCTTGGGCCCTAATTAGTGGCCTACTGTGCCCAGTGGGAAGGTGGGCCAGGCCAAAGGGAAACCGTGCCGATGAGGTGAGGGAGTGTCTTACCCGGGGCTGCACTTCTGGCAGAACTCAGGAGAATTGTCGTCCTGGAACGTGCCGGGTTTGCAGCGACACTGGGTGTCCGTGGTCCTGGTGCACAGAGCTGTTACTTCCTTATCTGAAGACAAAAGGTACCGTTGTGGGGATTCGGTTCCTTCACGTGCCCCTCCCCCTTTTTCACCACCCAGGCCCCTTCCCGCCCTGCTGCACTCAGTTTCTGCAGCAACACGTGTGAGGCACTTGCCCCCAGTGGCCAGGGGTGTGTAAAAAAAGGCCAGAACTCGTTATTACGTCAGGATTGGGAGGAAATTAGCTTACAGGATGATTAAGGACATGGTATAATCTGAGAGACCCTGGATGGAGAGGAACCCTTGGGTGACTTCTGCAAACCCAACCCTGTGGCGCGGCCTTTGGCTGAGAAGGCTGAGGGAGGCAGAGCGCTGGCCAGGAGTGCCGAGCGCAGGCTAGGAGGGGCCTGACCCGGAACAAGACCCGGGTCCCAGCACCAAACCAGCACTTTTCCACTCTGCCACACCTTCTATGCTGTGTAACCACAGAGTCCCCCGCATCAAGGAGCAGATTTTTGTCCCACTACTTTCATCTGACGGTTTAAAAGATGCACCTACTATATGGCACACGTTGTAAAAATAATGTCTGTTTACATTTTATTTTGTTGACCTAAGTCATATCATAAAACAAGGTATGATGAAGCTCTGGCCAATGTGGCTCAGTTGGTTGGAGTGTTGTCCTGTAAACCAAAATGTCACAGGTTCAATTCCTGGTCAGGGCACACACCCAGGTTGCAGGTTCAGTCCCCAATCAGCATGTGTACAAGAGGCAACCAATCGATATTTCTCTCCCACTCTCTCCCTTCCCCTTCTCTTCTCTCTAAAATCAATAAGCATGTCCTCAGCTGAGGATTAAAAAAAAATGGTATTATGAAGACCAAACTGGGCTGGAAATCAGGCTCCTGACTCCCGTTTGATGGTTCCATGTCACTGCCCAGCACCCTCACAGCAGCACGCGGTCGAAGTGTTCTCTACCTGGGAAGCATTCAGAACAGAGCTGGCAAGAGGAGAGGGTGTTCGAATGATTGGTGAAATCCTTTCCATCAGTGCAAGGTATACAAGTGCCACTGTGCTCTGACAGATAGAATCCTGTGAATGGAGAGAAAGCTGGTCAGTGAATCCCCATGGGACTCCCAGAGGCTGGCAGTGGTGGCTATGGGACACCTCTTTCGGCCATCAGTGGAGTCCAAACAAGGAAAACCATTTGACTTGGCCTCAGTCTCTTCTCCATTTCTGCATCTACCACATACCTTAGACCAGAACTGCCAACAGAAATGTATTATATGCCACACATGAAATTCAAATTCATAGTTGACACTTTAAAAGAGTAAAAAGAGGTCCAAATTAATTTTAACTATGTAATTTTTAACCTAAAATATCCAACATAGTAGTATGATTTCAACATGTAATCAATATCAAACATTGACATAGTTGAGTTTCTTGAATACCTCAACAAAAAAATGACACCTTGGTGACCTCCTTCACCCACACTCACCCCAGCTGCCCCTTGCTTTGCTCGAACAAGCTCAACCCCTGCCCCCGGGGCCACAGTTCCTGGGAACCCTCTCAGACCCCTCTACCTGGCTCTCTGCATCAGACTCACTGTCCCTGGGATGCCTCCCTAGTGCAGACTCTGTCCCACACATCACTCCGTCATCTTCATGGTTCCTATCTAGTCTATCTGTCCCATCCATCTGTCTGTCTGGATACCATCTCAGGAGAGCTCCAGGAGGCCGGGGTTTCGTGCCCTCCCCTAGCTCAGTGCCTGGCACACAGAAGGCATCTAATAAATACCCGCGGATGAAGAACCAGGAACTTCGGAAATCAGAGGGATGGGGGGACATGGAGACAAGTGAGGTAAGGGTTGGAGGTCAGTTTTCAGAGGTACCTGGCTGACACTTCTGCGAGGAATTCCATCTGGCATCCTGTCTGGCAATGTGATTAAGGGGAAAGCAGCCGACACCTGCGGGGAGAAAGCGGGGACAGGCATGAGTGGCTTCCCAGCTCTCCCCCAGCCCAGGACCCCTCTCATATTCTCTTCACCCCAGCTACCAAAGCGAAAAGAACTGGGACCATTCTTCCAGCTCTGCACTCTCATTCTTCTGTTTCACATTTGTCCCTCAGCCTTGGTGACTAGCAAGTAACTTATGCCTGAAAGAGTTGCCGGTATTCTTTTCTCTTACAGGAAAACAAAATATATTAATGCCACGTGTGCAAACAAAACTAATCATAAAATTGTAAGAACCATTTCAACCATATCAGTAACCCCCTAAACAATTCAATGGCAGAAATGGTTAGTATGGATGAAGAACAATACCCAGTTACACATTGCCTATTAGAGGTGCCATTTAAAAACAAGACACAGATATACTGAATGCAAGGAGATGAAAAAAAGATATACCAGACAAATAGCAAGCCTGAGAAAACTGCTGTGGCTGTAATATCAGATGGAGTTGATTTAAGACAAATAGTATTACCACAGATAGAGGGACCTTTTGTTTTGTTACAAGAGTTAATTCATCAGAGTCATAATAATTATAAATGTGTATGTGCCCAATGATAAAGCTTCAAAACACTTGAAGCAAAAATTGGAAGAATTCAAATGAATTTATTACACCCTTTTCTCAACAATTAATGAAATGATCTGATGAAAACAGTAAAGTCATAAAAGATGTGAACACTGCCAGCCACCTTAGCTGACATCACAGAGCAGATGGGAAACACCCTTCCTTCTGTAGAAGACACACCCTTCTGGTGAACACAGTACTTCGTGAGTCCAGATAAACTTAAAAGAAGCAAAGTTATATCATGGATATTCTCAGATCTCAATGACAATACATTGGAAACAAATAACAGCATCTACAAAGACCTGCAATGTAATTAAAACCACAATGAAATGCCACTGCACACGTATTAGGGTGGCTACTATAAAAAAGAAAAAAAGGAAAGAAAGAAATAAGTGTTGGCGAGGATATGGAGAGAAAGTTTAGAAAACTTGTGCGCTATTGACAGGAATGTAAAAGGATGCAGCTGCCATGGAAAACACTAGGGTGGTTTCTCAAAAAAAAAATCAAAAATAGGACTGCCATGTGATACAGCAATTGTACTTCTGGGCAGATGAACAAAAGAACTGAAAGCAGGGACTCAAAGAGACCTGTGCACACCCACAATCACAGCAGCATTACTCATAACAGCCGAAAGGCGCAAGTGACAGAAGTACGCATTGATGGATGAATAGATAAACAAAATCTGGTATACTTATACAATGGATTATTTAAAAAGGAAGGAAATTCTGACCCATGCTACAATGTGGACGAAGCTCAAGGACATTATGCTAAATGAAATAAGCCAATCCCCCAAAAGACAAATACTCTATGATTCCACTTAAGTGAGGCTCCTCGAGTATTCAAATTCCTAGACAGTAAGTAGAACGGGAGTTGCCAGGGGCTGGGTTGAAAGGAGGGAATTGAAAGTTGTCGTTTAATGCATATAGGGTTTCCCATTTTGCAAAATGAAAGTATTCTTGAGATTGTTGTACGACAATGAATGTAGTTATCCCTACTTAACTGTGAGATAAAAAATAGTTAAGATGGTAAATTTTATGTGCTGTACGTTTTACCACAATTTTAAAAAAATGTCAAGGTGCCTTGCAAGCTGTCCCTAATGAAATTTGTCAACGTCCCGCTAAATACCACAGTCACAGAAAAGTGCCGGCCCAGTGATTTGCTCACAGTTTCCAAGCTATAAATGACATAAAAAGAACTGAAGAAATCTGAATGGAATTCGAGAATGCGTAGTAAAATGTTGATTTTACTGTTCCGATTTGGAGGTTGTACTGTGTTATGGGGAGAGTTCCTGTTTGTAGAACAGTGTTTCTACACTGTCCTGTTTCCAGTGTGTAGAACACTACACACTGAAGTGTTCTGGAATTTTCTTTGTCAAGTTAGCATGCGGTTTCCAGATGACTCAGGAGATTTTTTGGATAGTTTTCACAACTTTTCTGTAATTTTGAGAGCATTTTCAAATAAAAAGTTAAACTAAGAAGAAAAGTCAGAATAAAAACATTGCTGAGCTCAGTTCAACCGACTGTATCTAAACAAGATAAAATGCAGCCATCTCCTGCCTAAAAGCCTGCCAAGTATTTGATGACAGCTGATCTCATGTGTGTCGTGGTCCTTCCTCTCCCAGGCAGAGCCTTCTCTGAGGTGCCGTCTCCGTTCTCTGTTCCCACAGTGCTACTCCCTCCTGTGTTTATTGGCTCTGTTGCTCATTGATTGTCTCTCATTGATCATTTCATTATGAAAATTTTCACACACTGAGTTACATTTACAGACTTGTACAATGAACATCACAGTGAAATCCACATTTCTTAAGTGTACCAGTTTATTAATTCATACACGTGTGCAACCTAGGTCCCCCCAGACCAAAGCACACAGCACAACCACAACACGCGCCCTTGCGCCCTCTCAGGCAATCCTACTCTGCAACACTGGCCCAAGAGGTGATGGTCTTTTCCAAAATGAAATGAGTCTACTGTGGATGGTGAGTCTTTTCTATGAATGACAGTTAAATCAAGGTGGTTGTAGTGCTCAGATGATGACTTTACCGAGTTGTATTCATCTAATCATTTTTATCAACTGCTGAGGAAGGATTGTTATACTATCCATTTAATCCTGTAGATTTTTAATTTTTGCTTTATGTATTTTGAAGTTCTATTACTAGGCATATCCACATTGCTAATTATTTTGACTTCTTGATAAATTAATCTGTTAACACTACAAAAGGTCTCTACCTCTGCCAATATTATTTCTCTTAAATCAACTTCATCTGATACTAGGTTAGCTGTAGAAATTTTTTTTAGGCTTACGATTTGTACATTGTATCTTTTTTCCATCCATTTACTTTCAAAGTATCTGTCCGGCTTTTAAACTGTGTCTCTAAGAGACACTAATACAGTAGTTGGGTTTTGCTTCTTCATTAATTCCAACCATCTCTACTTTTTAATTAATACTGATTTGGAGTTCATGTGATTATTGAAAAGGCTGAAGTAGATCTAGAAAGAAATTTTACCATGTATTCCCTGTTTCTCCAGTCTATTTTTTTTTCTTGTTGCTCCTTCCCTTCAGACTTTATCATTAAGAAAATATTTTTGAAGAATTCCATTTTAATTATGTGTTCGCTTTTTGTCCACACGTTTGCATTATTTTTTAGCAGTTCCTATAGGAATTGCATTGTATGCTTTTAACTGTTTACAGTCTATTTAAAGTTTTTACAAAATGATTTGAGGTTTCACTGACACAATAAGTGACATAATTAAGGAAAAAATTTGATAAAATTTGACACGTATTCATTTTTGAAAATTTTACCACCACTACCATCATGACTGTGTCACCCCAAAGTTGCTTTCTTTTTTTTTAAGATTTTATTTATTGATTTTCAGAGACAGGGGAAGGGAGGGAGAAAGACATCGATGTGTGCAATACTTCCCTCTGTTGTTGCCTCTCACCTACCCCCTACTGGGGACCTGGCCCCCAACCCAGGCATTCCCAGACTGGGAATCTGGGAATCAAACCGGCAATGTTTTGGCTCGCAAACCTGAGCTCAATCCACTGAACTACTGCAGCCAGGGCCCAAAGTAGCTTTCTTTTGTCTCTTCTGCCTTGACCCTTCTGGCCCCAGGCAACTACTTTTAAGATCTGTTTTCTGATGTCAGAGATTACTTTGTCCTTTCTAGAGTCACACAAACGGAACCAGAGAGTATATGCTCTTTTCCACTTGGCTTCTTTCGCTCAGGGCAATCATCTGGAAATTCATTCATGGCATCATACGCACCAGTGCTTTACTCCTCTTCGTGACTGAGCTGTATGGCTGAATTCATAGTGTAAAAATAAGGGAAGGGAAACCAAAGAAACAGTAAACAAACAGGACTATATCAAACTAAAAAAAGTCTGTGCGCAGTAAAGGAAACCATCAACAAAATGAAAAGACAACCCACTGAATGGGAGAACATGTTCACCAATAACACATCCCATAAGGGGTTAATATCCAAAATTTATGAAGAGCCTGCAAAACTCAGCACCGCCCCCCCCCCAAAAAAACCCAATCCCATTAAAAATGAGACCTGAATAGACACTTTTCCAAAGAGGACATACAGATGGCCAACAGACATATGAAAAGATGCTCAACATCACAAATCATCAGAAAAATACAAATTAAAACCACAATGGGCTATCACCTCACACCTGTCAGAATGGTTGTCATCAATAAACCAAAGAACAAGTGCTGGTGAGGATGTGGAGAAAAAAGAACCCTAGTACATTGCTGGTGGGAATGCAGACTGGTGCAGACACTGGAAAACAGTACGGAGCTACCTCAAAAAATTAAAAATGGAACTGCCTTATGACCCAGCAATTCTACTTCTGGAAATACAGCTGAAGAATCCTGAAACACTAATTCAAAAGAATATAAACACCCCTATGTTCACTGCATCATTATTTACAATAGCCAAGATTTGGAAGCAGCCCAAGTGTCCATCAGTAGATGAGTGGATGAAAAAGCTGTAGTCCATTTACTCAATGTAGTACTCAGCCATAAAAAGAAGAGGATTTTACCCTTTTGGGACAGTGTAGATGAACCCAGACAACATTATGCTAAGTGAAATAAGCCAGTCAGAGAAAGACACATACCATATGATTTCACTCATATGTGGAATCTAATGAACAAACTGAATGAACAAGGAAAACAGAGACAGACGCACAGATGGAGAGCAGGTTGACAGCTCTGGGGAGGGTTGGGGGCATGGCAGGATCGAGCAAAAAAGGGAAAAGAAGAACTCATGGACACAGACAGCAATGTGGTGATTTCAAAGCAGGGTTGGGTGGAGGTGGAGGTGAAAATGGGTATAAGAAGGATAAATAGTCATGAAAAACACCTTGTTTTTAATTGGGGGGTAGTAATATAAAA